AGTAGTGATAGAAGGAAAAGGGGAGAAAGAAGCAAGTAAAATTCAAACCAATAGTTAATTTCACTTCACTGTATCTTAATGAAATGATCGGTTTGTGAATGATCTTAGAATATATATCCTGCTTATAGTCAGCAATTCTCATTTTAATATCTGTTGTCTTAAATAATTCCTTCCTAGACAATTATCAGGATTCTAGTTCTAACCTCCTTTGGAAAAGAGTAAGACAATAGAGGGTGGAGCTTGGGACCTCACTGTTGAAGATGGCTGTGGTTCACTTTGGGGGAGCTCTGGCCCTTGCTTCCTGGCTCCAGTTCAGATCCCTCAGCCTGCCAACACAGATCCTTCATTCCACTGGCACAGACTTTCTAGCTTTCACAACTGATCTTTGGTCCTTCTTAGTGCAGATCCTTGAAATGGGCCTGCATGAGACATTGTGGTGGGCTCTAGGTCTTCAGCTGGACTCATGCAGGACACTGCCATGGGTTCCAGGACTCAGCTGGATTCTTCGGGTCTTTAGAGTGTGGACAGATTTCCTGTACTCTTTGTACCTGACTCTTGCAGGTGATGACTATAAAATGATCCTATAAATTATGTGTCCTGTATTAAAGTGTTTCCTTTATAAGCCCTGACTGCAAGGAGATCTCTGAAAGGTATTTCATCCATGCGTTCTTTACATAGTCATAAGAATTGGTAGAGATTAGATTAGATTAGATTAGATTAGATTAGATTAATCTAGTAAAGGTTACAGCTTGGATCATCAGGAAGCTGCTAAGGCTTAGGACCTAAACAGTGTTGTATCCACACACAGGTTGAGTTGGATTTCTGTATGCATTCTACAAACTATATATATATATATAAAAAATTCCCACCTCAGTGATGTGTGTGTATCTTTCTGGAGCAAAGCTTTCAGATAAAGTTGTAGTTGTGAGTACCCGTAAAGACAGAGGGCCAAGAACCTCAACTTTACAAAGTAGCCTTTTCGAACAGCTTCATTCTTAGCGATCAATAAATATCTGTTTAGTAGATATAAATGTTATGAGCAAGGATTAGATCTGAAACTTGCTTCAGTTTGATCTGGTAGGCTAGTGACCATCCATACTGAGGTACCTGTGAAATCTCTCATTTCCTTATTGCTACTAGCATCAAAGTATCCCATTCGGGATAAAATATGGACACTCAGTGTAAGGAATAAAAACTGAACCTTACAGAATTTAAAATTCTTTAGCAGCCCCAATTACCTGAAATAAATAAATAAATAAATAAATAGACCCATGAGCTGTATGACATTGATCTCTGAAATGTGGGTTGGATTCTGCATAAAAATTCCAATCCATTTCCCAAAACTAAACTACCATTACAAAGCTGTAGGACACACACATAAAAAGTTTCTTCAAGGAGTGCACTCTATCACTGAATCCATCCTTCCACTTGTAACAACTAAAAATGCTGGATAAGATATATTTATAAATTATCATAAAGACACCAAAGAGATGACAAAATAGTAAGCGATCATCATGCCCCATAAAAGGAAAGAAGAGAACTGGGAGAAGTGATCTAGCTTGTCATGCTTTTGTCCACAGGCTTTTTGCAAATCTGAACTTCCTATCAGCAGTCTAGCGGGACCATGGGTGAAATATGAAAACTCCAGATTCCTGGAAGCTAATCCATGCAGCTGAGGAGCATTTAGTATCTCCTGAAGAATCCTCGGAGACTGGCTTAAGGTGACCTTCAACCTACATAGCCTCCAGGTCCCAGCACCAAGAAAAGCCAAGTTCCTTCTGGAAGCCATTTTAAACGAGGTTTAAGCTACATTCTTCACTTGAGAAGTGCAAAAGAGTTGAACCTTTGACGCCTAAAACTCAAGGCTTATCCACTTATCACTCTAAAAGGTATTGTAAAATCAACTGTAGGCTTTTCTGGAGGTTTTTCCAGGAAGAATTAAAAAAAAAGAAAAAGAAAAAGAAAATACATGCAGCAAATATGAGAGGCACCTTCTGGATAATTAACTTTGTGTGTGTAACCGTTACAGTGAGGTAGAAACTGCTAGAATATGGCGGGGAATGTACCTTAGTGGACCCCTGCTGGGCCCATCAACGATCCAGTGGGCAGGGTGAAACTGTGGCATGCTATTGCTGGAAGAACTGAGTAGAACAATGTGGTTTTAGAGATAGTAGTAGCGGTCACAGGAAAAGCAGGCCCTTGAGGAGATGGCACACTGAACAGGTCCACTTGACGAGGAGGCCCCCACGCAAGTTCAGTCTGTTCTGTTCATGACAGGCATGATGTTGAGAGAAATACTGGACCACTGGTTTGTTCTTCTATAAAATGACACTGGAGGCCTGGGTGGATTCTGTAGCTGCTCCCACAGCCCAGATCAATGGTGTTTATGCTTCTGTGGGTTTCTGCACGGGGGCACAGCCTGCGAGAAGCCAAGGGTATTCTGGAGGCCACAAGTGATCCCCACATGGAAATCAGGGCTCCAGACAACACACCGAGACAGAGCAGGACTTCACATCTAGAAATGGCAAGTGCTCACTTCTGCAGATTTGGAAGGCAGCTGCTTTGTAGAAAACAGTGCACAGAGTTTCAAAGAGACTCAGGCCATCATTTCCCATCCTAATAGGATCAAGTTCATGCATAATTCTGGGTGACCCTCTAGCGTCTGACATTCACGCCACGTTCTTGTTCGCATTGCATGTTAAGCAAGCAAATTTTCAATGAACTCTCGCTGGCTGTACCACAGACACAGCTGTCAGGCGGACTCCTTTGTTCATAAGGTTCTCATTATTAGCTCAAGCCGAGCTGAATATTTGACTGAGGGAAAGGACCATATCATTATTTTCAGATTTCATTCTATGACTTAACTAGGCTACATCTGCCAGTGTTAGAAACACCAAGTACTTCTTGGCGCCAGCCTTGGCGTTCTCTCCTATGACGATGACCCAAAATGTTTCAGCGTGAGCAAGTCTCCTCACCATCAAAACAATTTAATAAAAACTTACATTGTGATTAAGAGTTACTCATCAACTGATGGGGCATACCAGTCTTGTGCTATTTATGAATTATTCCACACAATATTTTTGGCCTAACAAATAGAATCCACATTCATAAAGGGGGAGGCTAGAAAGCCACTTAAATGTTTTCATGATTTATAAGGTCTGTATTATACTTGAAACCATATTTCTTTAATAGGTAGACTGGCATTCCATCGGATAATTCAATCTGCTTTAAATCTATTCTAAGGCTTTAGGCATCTTAAGGGACATTCAGAACATAAATTTAATTCCACTATGCACCTTTGAGCAGTATTTCTCTACACAGATATGAGAGGAAAGAGCATATGAATTTCTATGTCAATTGTAGGGTAGAATTCCAAGTATTAAAATCTTGATACTAAATCTACTTAGAAAATGTTAGAAACCTCCCTAGTCCAAAATGCATAAGCCTATTTAAAAATATAAGTTAAAAAAAACAGGTAAAAGAAATTATGAAAGCTCATAATGGTAGTGCACCCATGTATAAAAATACCATTAATAATTTTTTTAAAAATGTATTTGGTATAGGGCCTCACTACCCACTTTGGACTCATAATGATCCTCCTGTTTTCAGCCTCCCCAGTGCTGGGATTACAGGCATGCACCACCACTCCTGGTCTTGGTGGTTGGCTCAGCACACCCAGGGATGGGGCCAGTGTGGCATGCGGTGCCGGGGATCAAACCCTCGTCTCTGCAGTTGCCTAAAGCATGTGCTTAGTCCACTAAGCTATCTCACCAGACCACACCATCAATAGTAAAACTTAGCAAAAATAATCTAAAATCATCTTTAGTGGTCAGTAGAAAAAAGATACTCCTTCCCTCTATAGTATAAAAACTTAGAGCTTTGTACTCTATGATTATCCCAAGTAACTGGAAGAAGTTTTCCATCCTAAAGAGTTAAATATAAAAATATGCTTTAGTTTTTTAGTATCTTGGAACATGAGAACTAAAAGAATGCCCTAAAGACATCTGAGACAAATGGTCCTTCAGCCATTCGAAGACTTTTCAGCTCATTACTAAATACTGTGATCTATTCACCTTTGAGATCTCTAACCAAAAGAACAATCTTAAGCCAACAACTGAAACAGGCTTCTCTGTAACTCTCACACTGTAACTCTCAAACCAATACCTTTAAGTTACTATCTCTTCTTTATATTAGTTCCTCAAACACCTGAAATTCATGGCTCAATCAATTTTTTTTTCTTCCAAGAAGAATCTGATCGCACTACTTTCTATGGCTGAGCTACCCCACTGTCTGGCTCATGCTGGTATTTACCAATAACTCTTTGAGTGTAGTGGCCATAAGTAAACCACTTTAAAGTTACAGAGCATATTAGGATTATTATAGCTTATGATATATAATTCAAAGATTTATTCACAGCAAATAAAATGTATCTGCAATGGAAATAATGCACATCTGTGTTTCCCCCATAGTTCGTATGTTGCAATTCTGAGCCCCTGTATAATAGTAGTAAGAGGGCTGGCCAGATAGCTCAGCAGATTAAAGTGCCTGCTTAGGCAGGTGCGGGGACCGTGGTTTGATCCCCAGCGTGGCGTGGTGTGCTATGCCACCTCCAGGGTGTGCTGAGACAGTCAATGAGACTGGGCATGGTGGCGCATGCCTGTAACCCCAGGACTTGGGAGGCTGAAAACAGGAGGATCACTATGAGTCCGACTGTGTAGTGAGACCCTGTAGACCTTGTACTAAATACATGAAAGAAAGAAAGAAAGAAAGAAAGAAAGAAAGAAAGAAAGAAAGAAAGAAAGAAAATAGGCCCTTACCAAGGTACATTACAAAAGAAAAGTCAAATCAATAGTATCCTTTTAGACACAAGGGCAGAAGAAAATTCGGTAACATGGAAAATATACTAATCTCAGTATACACAGGTAAGTTTGAAATGCAAACATAATGCCCTTTTGTACAAATTTTAACATTCAAAAGGTGAACTTTTATTTTCTACTTACCATGTTGTATGTCTTTCATATCTAAGTGAAGACTAGACATTAATATTCCAACTGCTTGTGATCTTTTGTTGCTTAATAACTTGACAACCTGCTCCAGAAATAAAAAAAGGGGAAATGTTAACTTCAAATCCAAAATACATAAGATTTTTTAAAATTCTACAGTAAAAATGTAAGAGGAAATACCTATGTTATTACTTTTTGTAATGTTTAAAAAGAGCTTTCGATCATCTAAAACAATCTTAAAGGTCTACCACCTTTCTCCCAGTATTCACCATCAATCTCCCAGTCATGTGTTTTATCAGTCTTATAAGAGTCTTATCTGTCAACCAGTAAAATTTCTAACAGGCTAGGAAGTGAGTCTGGGCTCTGTGAAATAACAATTACATGTTTGATCATTTATACCATAAAGGAGAAAATGTGCTTTTCTTTGGGTCATTTCGAAGTCTCACTATTTTACTAGCAGTCCCTCTTGCTCTGCACTTGACCCACATTGGGTAGAGAACTTTCCAGTTAATTAATAGAAGAACACAACTGTCAAACTGCAAGGACTGCATCAGCTCAGTCTCAAGTCTGGCTGTCCAGAGAATCTTCAGAAGCCAGCGCACACACCCCAGGAGGTTTCTCGGGACCCAGCTGGGTGCACTGCCATAGAAAAAAGTTACATTTAGACCACGTTCTCCAGACACCAACACCACCAATAAATCTTGTTTATGGAACTCTTGTCCCAGGTCCTGATCTTTGAGGGACAACAACTTCTATTTACTCTCTCTGTTTTGTTTTAAATCTATTTAGAAAAACATTGGAGGAAAAGGAAAGAAAAGTGGTGATGGTCAAATTACCAGAAGTGACAGTTGCTGTAACAACCATCACCTTTGTTGACCTTGTCTTCCTTTTTTGGTTTAAGCTGGATCAACCGGGACACTAAAAAAATAATCATACCCAGCTGTCACACAAAGTCACAGGGTAAAATAATATGCTTAATAGCAATAATAGCATTCTGAGTCCCCAGCAGGAATGGGGAATAAAACAAAAGACTTTCAGAAGGACCAATCACAAAACCTGCCCCGCTGTTTCTGAAAGTTTCCAGGGGTAAAGGACAATACCTCAGAAGAGGTGCTGCTAAGTCAACAGGGGGGAAATTATGTAATAAATTTGGTTCTAAATTTTCTCCCTAAACATTTTACTCTTACTGAGAAAATTTGGCTTACAATTTGACTATGCACCAGTTAGAGACACATTTCTAACACTAGCATTGTCTTGTTTAGAAGTGAAAAAAACAGGAATCTAAAACCACGAACTCAGAAGGCTTACATACTGTCCTGAAAGATGGCATTTCTAGCTTCAGATAAATGCAATCTGGGCCCCATCTGTGCTGCTTGACAAAACTGCTTTTACTATGTTTCCTATCTTTTTTTTTTTTGGTCCAAAATGCAATGAGCACATTTGAGCACATACATCATCTGACTTCCTGGAGTGCTGACAGGCTAGCCACACTCTCCTAGAAACTCTCCAGAGCCCCTGCCAGTGCTTCTCGGTCCTTTGGAAAGCGAAATATTCTCCGTTCACCTTATATTAGCATGTCCCAGAGTCCTATTTCCTGCACCTTGCTCTCTTTATAATCTATAATTTCTCCAATACAGATACATATGCTTGCATCTTCAACTCAGCAGTCTCTTACTCTCCTAAAAGCTATCTCCACTTAAATTACCCACATCAGTCTTTATTTGATGTGTCTAAAACCAAACTCTTATCAGTCCCACCTGAAAACATCCAGCTGGCTTCTCCTTTTTTATTCCACATGTTGAGGTAAAGGAACTACCACCCTCCATCTACACAGCAAAGCCAAAAACCTAGAACTCAATCTAGACTTGTGTCCCCTTCACTGCATACTCTTAGGATATGAGGTCAGTGATAACTCATATGTATCTTTAAAAATCCATCCCTCCTCCTCCTCCTCCTCTCTCATCAGAGTTTAATTCTACATGATATAACTGCATAGATAAATGCAAAAGATTTCTAATCCATTTCCTAAAAATCTAGTCTGGAGATTCTCAAAACTGTGTTCGCTGGTCTAGAGGACTCTTGTCATCACCATCCAAAAAATCTTTAATGATCCAAGTTCTCGGGCCTGATTCTCAAGACTTTGCATTGGGCTGGAGAGATGGCTCAGTGGTCTAAAGCACCTACTTGAAACAAGCTTGGCGAAGCACAGGGACCGCGGTTCGATCCCCAGCACCACATGCCAGCCCGCCCCGCCCCCTGGTGGGCTGAGCTGGCCACACACACACAATAAATAAATGTAATAAATAAAAATAAATATTTAAAAAAAAAAGACTTTGCATCAACAAATATGCAAGTAGTAGACTTCAGTTTGCACGTAAAAAGCCCGTGATGTAGTTCTAGAAGTACTGACCCAGTTTTATCCCTCCTTGTTCATTCTCCAAACTTATATCCAAGTATCATAAGTTCATCTCAGATGGGTTTTTGTTTGTTTGTTTGTTTGAGTTGGGTCTTTAAATTTGGAAGGGTTGGTTTTATTCAATTCTTTACATGTCCTAGATATAAGAACTTTGTCCTTAGTTACTTTATTGGTGGGACATGTTATGATTTGTGTCTAGTTGTCTCTCCAAAGCCTCATGAAGTCATTGGGGAAAGCTTCTAGAATTTCTAATTAATTCATGATCCAATGCTGGGATTATGGCTGTGCTACACCCGCCCTGGGGTAGGCAACCTTTGTACAAAGAGGCTTTTGCCCATTGCCCTGGATAACAACTGGAAGCTATGAAACTAGAACATTTGAAAACTCCAGTTAGCACAGATACAATAGAGAAGAAAGAATAGACTCTTCTAAAATTAGATATCAAGTTGCTTGGCCAAAAAAAAAGCAGAAAATACAGAATTAGTGAATTTGAAATCTACAGGACTAGACTATAATCAGGGAAAAAAAATATGTTAAATCTTCCTAAAATCACATCAGGTTCTGTGAATTCTCTTAAGGAGGTGGCCATAGACTTCCCTGGGAGGCACGAATGTGCAAGGTTTACAAACATGAATGCCGCAAAGTAAAGCAGGATTGTTCAAACTACTTGTACTGAATTACCTGGGATCTTTTAGAAACACAAATACTACATGGAGCTAAGATTTTGTGTCTAACAAGCTCCCAGGGCTCAACCGCCCAGAACGTAGGGTGCCATGACTCTCCAACTTCCTTCCTAATGCATTTGGGAAAAGCTGTTCCAGTGCTCTAAAGCCTCAGACGTGTCACCCCAAAAAATAAGGCATCAAATTTAAGGAGTTGCAGTAGGTAGTCGGTGTGATGTTGCACCAGTTAGCACAGATACAATGGAGAAGACAGAATAGAGTCTTCCAAACTTAGATATCAGGTTGCTTAGCCAAAAAAACAGAAAATACAGAAGTAACAAATTTAAATAAGAGAAGAACATGTTCGGAAGCTTTTACCTTTAATGGATTTGCTCAATCCTTTGAGATTGCACTGAGAAAGAAAACTGACCCATTCATGGCCACATTTAATCCTTCAAAGTATGAACACTCTTTTCTTCCTCTCATGTAATTCCTTAAAAAATAAATCAGGTTCTGCTTGGCTCAGAGGAGGTTTTCAGTGGTTAGAAGTGACTTCTCTAAGTTCTTTTCATGACCAGTGAGACATTTCCTCGGACCAGGTATAATAATTGGCCATGGAAAAGAACAAAACCAAGACGTTCATGCTTTCGGCCCCAGTCACAACTTTCAGGACCTTAAAATAGTTAACATCATTTGGTTTGGGAGCTACAAATATGTTTAAAACTAGCACCGACTGATTTTTGGTATGAGTGATTGCTGTCCTACCAAGATAACCTCAGTCTACTTTCACCACCTGTATCTTTTTAAATTTCACTTAATTTATATACAAAGCCAGTACCACTAAGTTATGACTGAAGAACAATGATTGAAGCAGCAAGAATAACAGGAATATATGCACAAGTATTTTTGAGATCATTTAACATTAATTTTTGGGGGTGCTGTGATAAATCCTTGTTATGTAGCTGACTGTATAGGACATTTCTAATAACAGTCTCAGCAGTTAAGTAACAAGTATCCCAAAGCGTATTGCTTTCAGGAAATACTAAAACCATCTAAAGTCCACCAACTCGAATTTTCCTAGCCTTGAATTTTCACAACTGCTATTTTGTGAAAATGCATGGTAAAGTGATGAAGAGAGGCTTTCTCTCCACTTCTCTCTTCCTCAAGGCTCTTCTAGCCTGACAGAGGGAGGCAGCAGAGGCACAGGTGTGTTCGAACAAAGCCACATCGCCCCGTGGCTCAGGCTGTAACGTACACAGTGCGCAGAGCAAAGGCAGAGCCAGCCAGCCCTCTTTCCCTCGTCCTAGAGACTCTGTGTGGAAGTTACCCATCTCTTATGACATCTAGCTCCTGCACCTGACATCCATGTATACCCAAGCCTCTTTGATACTGTGTCGTGAGCCGTAAAATGCAGGGGACGTGTCACAGAGTAACCCACAGGGAGAAGGATGCAGCTGAACATCAGGATCATCTACTCAGAACATGGATGGTGGGCTGCCACCAGTCCACCAGCCCTGCCACTCGTCCACAATAGGACAAATGGGAACAGAAACTGAGCAAATGCTAGAACCTGATAACCCGGTAGAGTAGTGTTTTGACCACTCAATCTAGACTTGTAAGTTTTTGTTTTGGAGGTTTTATTCTTCATATTGTTTTTCTAGTAATTTACATTATATAATACACTATACATAGTGTATTATATATTACTTGATAGGATGTAATATATGCATATTATATAGATGCATATAGTATATATTACTTTGGATATTACTGTATGACACTATCAAAAGGAGATGGAGAGCGGGCCTTCTTTAAAAAGCTCTTTGCTGGTGGAGTCTGGCCACACACTTCCTCAGGCACCAAGGAAAGTGTCCAGGAAGCAGGGCCTGAACAATTACGGATGTCTTCCCCCCCAAGCCACTCATGATTCCCAGGCTTCTCCAACAACTTCAGAGTAAGGCAAGAAGAACTGCTGGTGAGCTGCATCGCCTCAGAGCTCCCTCTAGG